AAAATTTGAAAATACCCTTTAGCGTCCTTCAACCATAATCCTAACAAGGCAAGAATGTGGTAGAACCAATTGAAAAAGAACATGGCAGACCGACTACATTGGTTGCTAATATAAATCCAGTTGCTACGACTATTGATTTTTAGATCATCGAGGTAATATAGGAAGACTGAACTAGAGGGGATGAAAGTACAAGTGGCAATGTTGGGGTACAACACAAACAAGTAATTCCAGCCATGTTTGGGTTGAGAAAATTAGTAAAAGTGATTTTAAGGACACAAAAAGAAGACGTCGACGATGAGAAAAAACGATTAGATGTTATTTAATGTTTTGAAGAGGAGTCGAAGAATAAATTGTTTGGAAACCATCGGAAAGGAGCCGAGACACGTCTCTAAATGAAGAAAACTTTTCAAGGTCATTTATGAAAGCAATCTCAATGAGAGTAGAAAAGACAGAAGAAACTAACTGGATGAAAGCAGTCCGCACGAGGGCTTTCCGCGGGGAGTTTCCAATGGAGAAGAATGAACTTGAAGATAGGAGTCAAGGCTCGTAAACAAAATGAAGTTTGGAAGAAGATGATTATACAGTGGTCAAAGAGTTTCTTTATGATAGGGGCTTGTATTTCATGATTAAATTTTTTGAAAATTAGTTACTGATAAATCATGAAAAAATATGTCAAATATGTCAAATCATTTTAACGTATTTGTCTAAACTGAAGCACATAATACGTCGGATTTTAGCGGCAAATGGATTCTATAAATTAGTATTTATGGAATTTACTCGTAATTAGATTTTATTTTCTATAAACAATCTTAATAGTAGCAGATATAATGATTATAATTTTAAGAATATCATGATTATTATAATATTTTATATTAAAAGAAGTTAGAAGTAATAAAGTTAAAAACAACACAAAAAACTTTCTAGTCAAACAATAGCTGCATTTTATGGACTGCAAACTTTATACAATCGCATCTTGTTATTTTAAAAGGAACTCTTAAAAAAGAAATACACAAAAAACTTTCTAGTCAAACAATAGCTGCATTCTATGGGCTGCAAACTTTATACAATCGCATCTTGTTATTTTAGAAGGAACTCTTAAAAAGCGACTCCAACAAGAGAAAATTTTGTGTAAGTCGTCTGCTGCAAATCACATAGGGACGACAGACTTGATACACCGATAAGATATTTTTTTTTTACCGATGTATCGCGACTCCAACAAGAGAAAATTTTGTGTAAGTCGTCTACTGCAAATCACATAGGGACGACAGACGTGATACATATGTCGTCCTCACATAGCTGAGAAATTATTACGTCCAGACTTCGGATGTAGATATACATCTGCAGTTGTCCTCACATAGCTGAGAAATTATTACGTCCAGACTCTGGATGTAGATATACGTCTGGAGTTCAATGAATCACCTCCATGTGTAAAAAAAAAAAAAAAAAAAAAAACTAGTTTTCTTGTGATCCGACACTGTAACACAGAGGAATATTCCTACTTTGTTATTCCACATTATTCAGACATTATTGTGGTGTATTGATGTGTTATTATAATATTATGAATATTCTCAAAACACAAAAATACATGAATACCACAATAATAATACTTGAATAACGTGAAATAACAAGGGTGAATATTCTCATATGCTAAAATGAATTTTTTTTTACTTTTCTATCGGTTTCACCTGATATGATTTCATTGAACTCTGGATATATCTCTAGGTCGGGATTCCATATGCATCAATTTTTAGACAAAGCTAGCTTATAAGCAAAATTATATGGGCCGGCCTCAACCCTACTATCCGTTCTATTTAAAAAAACTTAAAAAAAAAAAAAAAATATTATTATAATCTTGTCTTGAACGGTGTTCCCAACTAAATGGTCTCTGAATTCTGCAGATAGACGGCGGCAATTGCATTCCTGTTTCTATTCGTTGAGCGCCATATGGAAGGCCAAGAAGCTTCTGCAGTCGGTACTCTGCTTCTCCTTGTCTCTTCTCTCCGATTCTTCTTAACGAGACTCTTTTTTGAAACGATCGGTAGTAGTGGGGGAAGCGGATTGAGAGATAGTGTGTGAGTGAGTTGACTGAAATGCTGAAGCAGAGGGGAATCGGAGGCGCAGAGAAACGGGTCTCATCGAAGTGGATCATTTTGCTTTGTCTTGCGAGCTTCGGGCTCGGAATGCTGTTCACGGACAGGTGGATGATCCATCTTTTTGCTTGAGAAACAGAAAATTAAAGGATTTTATAGTGTTGGGTGATCGGAAGGGGTTTCTTCTGAAACAATGGTTATTTTTACTTAAAAGCATCCTTTTCGGGAGCAGTTCATGGTAGTCTAATTAAGCAACTTTTGGTTTGGGTAGGCTCTGGCCCATTGCAGATTCGAACAGGAAGATCTTCAGGCAGCGGCTGAAGGAACAGGAGCTTCGCGTCCTCTCCGAAGATTGCGCAACTGAAACTGTAATAACTTAGCAGATTCCGCCAGCGTTGCTGTTTTTCAGGTTTTTTCTTCTGATATTAACTGTAATTTGCTACCTTGACAAAAGAAACTTGGCCACCAGCATGATGTGATGGGAGAGGTAACGAAGACTCATGAAGCCATACAGTGAGTTTAGATATTCCAAGCAAGTTGATTTGATTTATATTTGAATTGGTTTGATGCTTGTTGTTATTTGATAACTCAAAAATTGATTCATGTCAGATCTCTGGATAAGGCCATAACAACGCTTGAAATGGAGTTGGCTGCAACAAGAAGCTCTCATGAGCTTTTGGGTCTGGAGGGTTCTCCTACCGTTAGAAAATCCAATGAGGCAAAAAAGAAGGCGTTCATTGTTATTGGGATCAATACTGCATTTAGCAGTAGGAAGAGGCGTGATTCCATCAGAGGGACTTGGATGCCTCAAGGTTATCTTTACTGTTTGAAATCTATAGAAATTGGTCATTTTGTGCTTGTGCTCTGCTTTTAGCTTACATGAATTCATGATTACAGTTTTCGGCCAGCTATTTCATAGTTGATTTGTTCTGTTCTTCAACCGTGAAGGTTCACATGACATGATTATGTTCTTGCAGTCTTAGTATGAATCTTTTTTTTGTAACTGTGACTATCCTTACTCATGAAATTTTAATGCAGCTTTGGTTGCGATTATTTCTTTCTAGTTTCTTGGTTTAGTTTTGAAAGTCAGTTAATGCAATGAACATAAGTCATGCATCCTTAGTGTATTGCCTTGTAAGAGTCCATTAGGGTATAAGATGGAAATCGTTATTCTATGCTATTTTTCTTACATAAGGTCTTGTCATGAATTATGTAGATTTGATTTGTGTTCATTGTCTCTTGTAATTTAAACATTGTTGCACATGATTCTTGTTTCCATTGTCACTGAAGCAGCACACCCATATATTGCTATTTTACACCGACAAAAAAATTACTAATTTATTTTTAAGGTGATTTAGAAGTGTTAGTTTCCTACTTCAAGATCTGATTTAGAAGAATTCTGCCTGATTGTGATGCCTTGGACGAGATCTTTGGCCATATTTGAGTCAATAAATTATACTGGTAAAAATGTGATGATTGTACTCTCTTCAGACTCCTGATATATTCATATGGCTTTCAGCTATTTAGTCTACACATCAGGGATCTATAGTGAATTCTAGGTGTAGTCAAATCTTCTTGAACGGGCCATCTACCATTTTTGTTTATGACAATTTGTTTGATATCAAATGACTTTCTATAATTGGTATACAAAATAATAAGGGATAAATAATTTTTCACTCTTTCATTATCTTTCTTGCTTGCACTCCATCTCTCTGTTCATTTATGGAGTTCTATAGTTTTTGTTTCTTTTTGAACTAATATGGTTGCTTAACATACTTCTTTAACTATTGTTTTATATTCGATACCCTTTGTTTTCATCACATCATTGGTTGGTGATGCTTTGTTGCACTGGTTTTAAAGTAATACTTTGTGCTATCCTTCTAGAATTAGCATTCGTAACAAAGTATTCCTGAAGGTAGAGGTTATATGAGCTAAATTATTTTAGTAAATTTGTTGCGAGCATATGTAAACCAGTTTCACATTGCCCTGGTTGAAATACATGCCCCAATTTTCTAATGAGAATGCTGCCAAGTACAGTATAGAGTTTGCTATTCGGAAAAATAAAGATAAAAGAAAAATAATCATCTTTTCACGTTGTGTAGATTGATTCTCTGTAACTGTTTTGATTCATCTTCTACCATCAATATTAGGCTTGAATTTGAATATTTTCTTTTTATTTAGGTGAAAAGCTTCAACAACTAGAACGCGAAAATGGGATTGTGATCCGCTTTATGATTGGCCACAGGTTAGTTAATTTGGTTGATTTATTTTACAAATAAGTTTAAACAATTTTATGATATCTCTGATTCTGTAACATCCAATATTCTTATTTTAATTTTAATATTGCATTTAACCATGCTTACCCTCTAGTGAACTCTGCCATATCCTTTAATAGACCAGTAATATCTTGCTGGAGAATTATTTTATTGTATTCTATAATGTTAAGGTTTTGATAAACCTGACATATATAGTCTAGAGATGATTATGATGAGTGATCGAGCACAATTTTATGTTTTATTTTATACATAGTATGTCTCTTTTTTTATATCATCTCCAAAGTAGGATTCTTTGACCAATGTTGATAAAGCTCTCTTATCAAAATGTATAATAGTTTTTTTAGTTATTTCCTATTTTGATAGCTTAACGCTGGACCAATTTCTATGAGTAGAAACTAATGGTTTTGTAGGTTGTTGAAGTGTCAGACCATAAATTTGTTTTATTGGAAAAGCTTTTAGATGTATATGTAAAAACTTAGATGCATTACTTGTGCACCCTTTAATTCCCTTGACTCCTATATGATTCATGAGAACGCACATGCATATGAATGTGATTGTGTTTTTTTTTCAAACTAAAAAGATGAATGTATGTGGGCGATGTGTTCTGCATTCCTAAAAACCTTATAAAGCATCAACTCATCCCTCTTATACAAACACCATGGTGATACTAAAGTCAAAATTTTTTTTCATCCGTAAATAGGAATTGGAAGACCATCCTTTGCAGATGTTATGCATAAATGTGCATGTCTTCAAAATCCCTGAAGTAAATATATATAGAATACTACTTTGAAAAACTTAGGTTGGACAACGGGATCCCACAATCATTCATAGTATCACCTCAAACTGTTATGATTTGAATTGACTATTATTTTGCTTATTAGTGGGAACCGATAATTGCGATTTGTCCAAAGCATGTGCAATACCTAATGCAACACTTATTAGAAAATGCATGGAGCATAAAGTTGGCTTGAATACTGTTACTATAGGAATTTAACATAATTGTGTCAGATAGGTCAGATGCAAATCAGACGTAAATCTAACGATATTTAAAGGTTAACGTCGGATTTGCGTCTAATTTTTTCCAACGTTGAATTGGAAGTTGATAATTTTATTTCCGTCTAATTTACGTCAAAATATTCTAATGCAAATAATTTGCATAGATTGTTGTGTCATATTAGTGTTGGATTTATTTATATGTGACGTGCGTCTAAATTTGCGTCTGAAAATATCCAATGAAAAATCTTAGCTACGGATTACCGTCTCATTTGCTTCGAAAAATATCGTAGAATGACGAAAAATTATTATAGATGTAGCATCATATTTTGCGTTCGAAAACGGACGCAAATCCAACACGAACCTGTAACATAAAAAAATAATTTAGAATATCAGTTGCATATTCTTAACCTAGACAATCACACATTATACATAACAAACCACATTAAATATAGTCATATCGCAAATCAAATTTCTAAACAATATCATTAATAAAAGGAATATAATGTCACAAACCGTCCCAAATCATAATAGTAAAGTTAATTCAAAAAATTTCACAACAAATGTTTAATATAATATTTATAAATAAAAGAAAAAAAAAATACTCATTATCTCCATCATCGTCCTCTTGCACGAATATCATCGGTTGCTTGTCTCGGCTATCTGCTAATGTCTCCTCCATGCACGCTATAGAGTCATCCACTCTATGTTGATCTTTTAGCATTAACTCGTGCAACTGACGTATCTCTTCATTCATTGTAGCTACCTGCCTGCAAAAGGTCTTCGATTTTGCTGTGAGGAGCTCGGGGAACTAAGACTGGGACCACGGGAGAGCTTAGTCTCGAAGGCTATGCCCTTTTGCTCCAAGACCATAAACCCTCATTTTATTCCTCCCTGTCGCTTGGTTCCAAACCTCGTACTTGGACTGCGCAATGGTAGACTGACTGCCACTACTGCTGGCGTCAGCTTGAGCCTAAGTGGCCAAGTGCCTCTCCTGGAGCTGCCCGAACTCCTGCATAATAAAAACCAACATTTAATTGACACTTTCAACAATTAGAGTCAAAATAAGCTTTTAATCCAAGGTTTTTAACTTACAGCGACTCACTGAGAATGCTTCGAGACTCACTGCATAGTTCCCGAACGGTAACGAGTTCGGACATGCAGCTCCGCAACAGAGGGAGCACGACTCAACTCCTTGGCCTGTGTAGAATGCAAAAATGGTTTGCCCTAAATTATTACTTCAAAAATTAAATTAATGCTTAAATATTTAAAAAATCTCACCAGCCTTCTACAGTGCTTCGTATGGGGGACTAATCCGCCAAGGTCGAGCACAGCTCCATTGGCCCTCTTTGTGGCACATTTCACCTGTTTCGTCTGCCTCCTCTAATAATAAGGAGAAGCAAAGCTACAGTTAACTGACCCCAAAGCCCCTCACCAATCTAGGCAGGCCGCTCGCCCCTCCGGCGGGCTGTCATGAACATGTTGGCAAGACTATGCCTGCACTGAATCTCGAAGATTCGGCAGATCTGGTGGTGGTGCTTTGAGAGCGAGGCAAAGGATCTCTGCAACGAAAAAAATAATTCATGTGTTAGTATAAAAAATTAAATAAAAGTTACAAAACTGATTCAAATTGCATGGTTGTACCTCAAACTTCCTGAACCGCATGTCCTGAGTGGTTACAAGTATCTGCTTCTACGACAGATTAGGCTCATCGAACCTGCTTCTGATAATCTTTGTGATGCAGTGATAGCCAGCTTATGGGGAATGATTCTGCTTAAGAAAGAAATTAGTTACGAAAAAAACATATGACATGAAGAATAGAAATAATACACTGTTAAAAATAACTTACGAGTCTCCTTATGGCAGTAAGTGTACCCTCGAGGGGGGGGGGGGG